GCGGGGTGAACAGGCGGAGGAGCGGCAGCGGCTGGCGGTGCCCGAAGGGGGCCATAGCCATGGGACCCAGCCAGGCACATCCCCCTCGTGTGACGCTCTGGCTGCCTCGCTGCTGCAGAACGAGCACTCTTTCAAAGCCCAGCTGCGGGCTGCCGCCTTCACGCTATTCTTGTTCGCAGCCACGTGGGCCTTCGGGGCACTGGCTGTATCACAGGGCCATTTCCTAGACATGGTCTTCAGCTGTCTGTATGGCGCCTTCTGTGTGACACTGGGGCTCTTCGTGCTGATCCACCACTGCGCCAAGCGGGAGGATGTATGGCGGTGCTGGTGGTCCCGCTGTCCTTCCCGTGGGGATGCCCATGCTGCCAAGCTCAACACCCGCCCCACGCTAGATGCCAATGGAGATGCCCTGGGACACACGGCCTGCCTGCAGGACTCGCCGTGCCTTGGCAAGCCTCGGGGCTTTGGTCACCCACCTGCTGGCCACTGCAAGATGACCAACCTGCAGGCCGCACAGGGCCATGTCAGCTGCCTGTCGCCAGCCACCCCTTGCTGTGCCAAGATGCACTGTGAGCAGCTAATGGAGGACGAGGCCCACGTGCACATGCACGAGGAGGATGCCTTCGGACACAACCCACACCTGCACAGGTGCCTCAAGGGCAGAACTAAGCCTCACTATTTCAGCCAGCACTCGGCAGCCACAGCAGAGCCAGAGTACGCCTACCACATCCCATCCAGCCTGGATGGTAGTCCCCACAGCTCACACACAGACAGCGCCCCCAGCTCGCTGGAGGGCCCCATGGGAGTGCACACGTTGGCCTGCTGTGCACAGGGCGATGCCTTCCCCATGGTCAGCCAGCCCGAGGGCAGCGATGTGAGCCCTGCACACTATGGCTGCTCAGCAAGGCCAGGCAGGGAGCTGGCCCTAGGCCCGGCACACCTGGAAATGCTCCGGAGGACACAATCCTTGCCCTTCAGTGGTCCCAGTCAGAACGGGCTACTCAAGGGTGACCTACAAGAAGGCCTGCCCTATGGCACCGATGGGACAGGCAACATCCGAACCGGGCCCTGGAAAAATGAAACTACTGTGTAGGCAAAACCTGGGACATTACATTTCCGGAGGAGCTTCAGAACAGAGTTGGGGGGCCTGTCCGCTACACAAGGGGTCAGTGGGGGGGTCGCCAAAATGACCGAGCCTTTCAGGTGGTGTTCACGCCCCCCAACTGACCCGTTTGTTGTGAAAGACCCCAGTGGGGAAGACACTTTGGGCCATGTCCTCCTCCAACAGACAGTCCCAAGGTTGGATGTGCAGGTCCACGTATGCAGTCGCCTGCCTTCTGTTCCTTAGCATCCCATCCCTGGGGCAGCCAGAAACAGAATCTGAGATTCTATCAGAGGAACCTCCTGCAGGCCCCAGCATGGTTCTGAGAAGGGCTGTGGAGCCCAGGAGCGCAGCCGCATCCCTGTACTGCCAGGTTGTAAATGGTGCGACCACAGCAGGAGGCTACATCTGGTGTTCCCTAGTGTTCAATGTGTGTGTGTCCAGTTTCGTTCCAGGGGCCAAGGCAGTTGCTCTGTCCAGAGCATTCTTGCCCTGGGGAGGTGCCGTGGGTCCCTCTGCTATCCCCGTGTCTGAGTCCCCTCTCCTTCGTCACTGGGGACCTATGTTGTTCTTCTGCCCTCTCAGTGTCGACCGTCAGCCCTGGCAGGCCTGAGAGCATCACAGATGCTGAGGTTGCATGGGAAGAGGGAAGCAGTCGGTGGCCGTCAGCCTTCAGAGGGCCGAAATCTGTCCTCAGGTGCCATGCCTTTGGAAAATGTCCAAATATTTTTTAATGGAGATTTGACCTTCGAAGCCACTGTTGCCACTGGGATTCTGCTCCAATGTTCCATTCCATAAAGAAGAGGAGCTGACAGGGGCAGGATGGTCCTTGTGGGCACCCTTTCATTTGCATTTCTATGAACATCTAGGCACAAAGCCCTGACTCAAAGGACAGCGTGAGCATTCTGTGAAAGCAAGTGGCCCATCCCCGGGTGGGGAGAACTTTGCAGGGGGGGAGCGCATGTGTCTAGAGGGGCATACACGTGAGACTGCACACAGCCATTCCTCCTGCCCTTCCTTCTCCCAATCTATGGCACATGTGCACATACAGGTACACATATATGCACATGTGTGTCCCGTACATACATGCACATTGTGTCTGCCACCCACATGCACCCGGATCCTCCATGTGCACACATGCTACAAACCACACATGTATATCATACACGGTGCACATGTGTCTACACATGCACACACAATCACAGAATGTTTTCTAGCCACCCGAGTGCCGGGTGTTCATTGCAGATGTTTTCACTCTGCAGACGAACAGTGTCAACGACAGTACCAGCCATCACTGTGATTAGTCAGTGTGCTCTGGCACCCAGGCAGGGAGGGCTTCACCAGGATCCATCCTCACACAGGCCTCAGAAGAAAGGAGCGTCGGACAGGGGTGTTCTGAGCCCCTTCCAGGCAGGTACACTCTGCACCACTGCGGTGGGAAGTGCTCTGCAGAGGGCTGACACTCAGTACCTGAGTTCCAGGAGCCTCCCTCTAAAGGATGTGTAAACTTGACAATGACGTTGCAACTTACTCCACCCGCCCAGGACCTGTGTGCCCTTAGAGAATGACCGCACGGGCAGCTGGTGACCACTAGGCGGTGTCGGTTTCTGTCGCTGTCCATCCTTTTCACCTGCTTCTGTAGCTGCCGAGAACCAGAAACCAGGCACTATGCTGTGTACACACCGTAGACGCAGAGCGGTCTGGATGAAAATACAGTATTTTGCATTGTTCACACTCTGTGAGGCTGGTTAATAGCACCTCGTGTATGTGTGTGTGTTTCTTGCTCTTGATGGTGGGAGGAAATCACCTTAGTGTGTGGCCTTCGCTTCTGTGCCCTGGGGCTCTGGGCAGGACTGGGAGCCCAGTGGGACCAGGAGGCTGGTAAGGCTGTCTCATGGGACCCTCCAGCCCCCGCACATCCTTTCTTCCCTCACCGCCCCCGGCAGAACAGAGAGAGCACCTCATCATTCCACTGAAGGAATTCAACATTAAATATTAAACCTCATTGTGTTTCAATATTGATTTAGCCTCCTGAGTCCACTTGGGACCAGCATCATGGCACATTTCATTAGTCTGTAATGTTTTTGGAATATAAAAACTCACAGCACACATCGAGGAGCCTGTATGGGGATCAGCCGCACAGGACTGCAAAACAGAAGACCAGATCTGAATTGTGCTGTCTACAAACCAGTTTTTTGTGTCACTTTCTTCCTTTGTGCATGTGTGTATGTGTGTGTATATGTGAGTGGGTGCAGTGTAAGTGAGCATGCAGGAATGTGTGAGTGTGCTATGTGTGTACTAATGTGTGCATGTACATGAACACAAGTACATGTGTGAGTGTGTGTAATCCCTGAGTATATGTGCTTGAGTGCGAATGTGTTGCATGTGTACATTGTGTGTGTGTGAGTTCTATGTGGGTTGTGTGGATGTAGACGTGTTGTGAATGTGTGAAGATGAGAGTGCCGGTGTTTGTATGTGGGTCCATGCATGAGTGTACCTGAGGGTGAGTGCACATGTATGTGCGTGTGTATGTGTGTGCATGTGCACACTCTCCAGAAGGACAGTGTGCCCCTCTGTACTAGCCTAACTCACTGTGACAACTTTCAGCAGCCTGAAGGATGAGGGGAAGCAGAACGGCCTATGCCTCATGACCCTGACCTGTGGGCCTGTTCACCCCCCAGTCTTCTCTGGCTTGGGTCTCACTGAGGAAATCAGACCACACACTGGCCTCTGCTGCCTCTCCTTGGAGGCTACACCCCAGCCTCCCTGTGTTTCACAGCCAGCCCCAACAGGGCTTAGCTGTCTGGCTGCCCCATGAGGGGGCTTGCTAGTTGAATCAAGGGTACCTTCCTAATCCCCTGAATCCTCTGAGAAGCCTTCTGGGCCACCTCTGAATAAGACACCCCTGCAGGGGCTCCGGGCAGCTGAGCAGCCCCTGCTATTCTGTTGGGAGAGAGCTGGGCCAGGGCCCCACAATCTGCCTGCTGATCAGGACTCCATGAGACACGGATACCCCAGGGGAGCTCTGGGTCCTTGGGAGTTGCACCTTCAGAGGAAGGTCAGCTCAGAGGATGGGAGCACTGGGCTGTCAAGGGCATGGGCCTAACAGACCTGAGGGTGGGCCTGCAGGGAAGGATCAGTCTGCAGAGGCAGCTGCCCAGGGGATTCTGGGTCATGGTGAGCTCGAGGTGCTGCCAAGCAGACAATAACTACAGAAAGTCTGTCCGGGGACTCAGGAAGGAGCTGCCAGCCAAGCCACACGTGCAGAGACTGAAGTCCCTACTAGACACTAAGATGGTGACTGGTGGGGGGCCAGCAGGTAGTATGGTGGTTAAGGCACTGGACTCCCATGCAGCTGACCATGGTTCGAGTCCTGGATCTGGTGGCTTGCTTTCTATCTCTCTCTCTCTCTCTCTCTGGTCTATTAAAATAAATGAATGAATAAATAAAATAAAATAAAATAAATTTTTTAAAAAAATGGTGACTGGCTAGTTTGGCCACTGCCCCTTGTGACCCTTAGTGTTTCTCAGGGGATGCTATTGGAGTCAGTATTGGCCTGAGCCCAAGGCAGTGGGGCAGGGTCCCCGCTTGGGCCTGTCCACCCCCCCAGGCTTCACTTCCTCACATGTCTGCCCTGCACGGTGTTGCCAGAGTTTGCGTATGAGCCCAGAGGCTTCAGCACAGCCTTTCCTGCCAGGTTCGTTATCAGATACACCCTTGGGTGGAAATCCTGCCCGTGCATCCAAGATCAGCGATTGTTCTGAAGCCTGGGAGTGGGGCAGGGTGTTAGAGTCCAGCTCTAGTGTGCAGGGCTGGGCGTGCCCAGTGGGCAGGAGACAGAGGCTGGAGGAGGGACACTGGGCATGGGACCAGCCATGGGGTGGGGGCAGGGCCCTGATGGGCATCTAGCCAGTAAGAGGCAGGGCAGAGGGGCCATATTGGAAGGTTTTAGAGCCAGAATGAGTGATCATCTGAATGTTCCAGTCATCCAAGAGGGTGGATAGAGCAGGAAAATGTACATGGAGGCCCTGTCATAAATGAGAGTTGTGTCCCTCAGGCCACTGCTGAGAGACCAGGTTTGTCTCACAGCGAGACAGGTCAGGCTGTAGGTGGGGCGAGTGACAAGACTCCCCCACCCGTAGCCCCATCACACTGGCTCCTCTAGAACCAGAGGAAGTGGCTATTATGTGGGGCTGGGGTTCCCATGGGCAACTGCCCTAGCCAATGGCCAACTGCCTGGGACCTGTGTGGGCTGTAAGACCAGAGTCCTGAGCACAGACATGCCAGCCCCACAGACAGTCTTCCAGGGTCCCGACACCAAGCAGGTGTCCTGTATGAAGGTGGTAGTGTGACAACACGGGGGCGACCCACAGATGATGGCTCTGGAGGGTGCTGGACATGAATCTTTTATCTTCACCCCAGGGTTAAGAGGATAATTTTTAAAAATTCATCTGATTATGGGACCAGCAGTTAGTGTAATGGCTATGTCGCTGGACTCCCACGTAGTCAACCACAGTTCGAGCCCCGGACCCGGTGGCTTAAACTCACGCTGGGCGCGTGTGCGTGCATGCCCAAGATCCCGAGAGGAAAATAGAGAAGGGATTGTGGCGTGGCCATCCCCCCTGGGGAGCGATTTCTCGCTTTCTGTCTCTATGTCTCTCTCTGTCTGTCTGGCGAGCACACGCGCTCTATAGCAAAAACCTCTCAAAAAAAATCATTTGATTATTTGTATTCTGAATAAATATCAACACCTTCACAGTTAAGAGCAGCAAATTCTTGGGGGCCAGCCAGTGGCATGGTGGTTAAGGTTCTGGACTCCCACATGGCCAACCACAGTTCAAATCCCAGACCTGGCATCTTGCTTTCTCACTTGCTTTCTCTCTCTCTCTCTCTCTCTCACTCACTAATTGCCTATGGCAAATTAAAATATAATAATAATTGGGACCAGTAGATGGCATAGTGGTTACATTGCTGGATTCCCACATGGTCAAGTGCAGTTCAAGTCCTGGACCAGTAGCTTGAAAATCATGCTAGGTATGTGTGCGTGCATGCCCAAGATCCCAGGCAGAGAGTGGAGGAGAAGGGATTGTGGTGGTGCCATCCCCCCAGGAGTGATTTCTCACTTTCCCACTCACTGTCTCTGTCTCTCTCTCTCTCTCCAGCAAGTACACTTGCCCTAAGGCAAAAATCCCTAAAAATAATAATAAACAACTAAATTAAATTTTAAAATCTATATTTTTTTAAAGCAGCAGATTTCTTTCTCCATTGCCATAGCTCCTAGCACAGCCTCAGTGCAGCTCTTTCAAGGACCTGCAGCTGGCATGCCCAGAGATCAGATCCTTCCCTGCCAGCAAAAGTAGGTTACTTCTCCCCAAACCAGGCCAGACTGCCCAGGAACAAAAGGGGACAAGACAGACCCGGGCCAGAAGAATATCCTGGGTGAGTGCTCATGTCTGCTGTGAGCTGCGTTGGCATTACTTGGGCAGAATGCTCACCGGTGAGAAGCAGAATCTAGACTCGTGAGTACTTAGTGTTTCCTGGGCCTCTGGTGTACTCAGGATGTCCTGGCGTTGGGTCCTCGGGCCATAGGATCCCTGGGCTCCTCCTAAGTACACTCTGTCCCTCTGTCATTCCACTTGCTAAGGGGCTATCAACCCTCAGCACCCCCAGATATAACTTTATCTTCAGATACAGTGTCTCCTTCCCTGGAGGTTGGGACTTCCAAGATGACACACGGTGGTCACTATGGAGATCAGGAGAGCAGAGGTTGGGCAGGAAGACAGCACAGAAAATTCAGGGGCCGGTTCCCTGAAAATAACCACTAAACATAGACCAGTGCCTATGCTCTCTACTGAAGGGCTGGACAATCCATGGGTCGTTCCAGCTCTGTGAGTGAAGAGGAAGAGGAGGGAGCCAGTTAAGGCAAGGCTGCAGCTGGGCACTCCTCGTGGTAAACAGCCCATCCTGGTGTCAGCACAAGCCCTCCTGGAGGAAGGGATGAAATATCAGAACATCCACCCACGGAGCGCCTGGGGAGAGAGCCAAGGACCTGAGCCTCCACTGGTGAATCCCTCCCCACTCTAGGCAGGGACTGGGGAAGGCCACAGGGTCAGAGGAGGACTTGGGACTCCCCACAGGCAGATGCAGGAAGGTTGAACCTGAGGCAGCCTCCCTCTAGGTGCTAAAATGGCCTGTGGCCCAGACCCCAGAGCAAGTTAGAACAGGACATGCAGTCCTCTGTACTTCTAGCCAATGGGCGACAAGGCCACATAAAGTCCCGTCTAGGCCTTCACAGGCCTGGTCCAGGCACCAGAAGTAGCTATGCCCTGATGCAATCCTGCAGGCTCTGAGGAAATCTACGGGAGGCCCGGGTGACATGGGGCTGAGGGCCTGGGCCCTCTTCACACGTGTCCTGGCCTCCTCTCTAGTGTTCAGACACTGGACTGAGCTTAAGTCCTATGGCTGCTCAGGGATGGAGCCAACACCTGTGAGCCATCGGCCACCTGCAGCTGGCTCCACTGGCCTCCACACAGACTCTCCAATCAGCTCACAAATGTGTCCCAGCATCTGGTAGCCTTCTGGATCTTGGTTCTACTCCAGGATGACATCTGTGCACTAATGAGTACCAGGCCTCTGTTACTGAGCTGTTTCTCAGGAAAACCATCAAGGCACAAGAAATGCAAGGCCGGAAGACCATCTAGAGGCCTGGTCCCCACCCCCACTGTGGGATCCCCAAAGCAAACACAACTCAAGCACTAGCCAGGCTGAACAGCAGCCAGTGCCCTGTGGGACACCACAGCTCTGTTCTGCATTGGCAAGCCCCAGGCCTGGTCCTACTTTGG